ATATATATATATATATATATATATAATAAACTAAATAATAAATAATAAATAATAAACTAAATAAATTAACAAATAAATTTCAGCTAGGTGTCAATTTTTAAAAAAGAAGTAAAAAAAGAAGTAAAATCATACACAAGTAACTTGGAAATGTTTCTTTTTTAATTTACTAGAATTATACAATTATTTAGCTGTATAGACAGAAAATATTATTTATTGTGTGTTTATATAATGTAGCGCATTTATTATGTTTGGCCATAAGCTCTTCACTATCATGAGGGGATCTCTGCCACACCACCATCAGTGTGCAGCATTCATTTGGATGGTGCGACAGCAGCCACAAAACAATGGCGCCAGTGTGCTCATCAAACACCAGCTATAGACTGATTTCACGCAGCCACCATTTTAAAAGCGAATTTGAGGCTGCGGTGGGAACAAACCCGGAAGTATTGCCACACAAGAGCATTGTGTACTTGGCTGTTTATCTTATCAGCGAAGCGAAAGTGACACAAATTTATTATTTCACCACCTTCCGAGTGACCCGAAGGTCCGTTCTGAATGGATAGTGAATATCAGAGCTCATTTTCAGCTAAGTTAAGAGAAATGGCACTAGTTAGTTAACGCTTCTTTCCCAAGCACACGTTTTACATGCCATTTATCAAACTCAAGCTAATGAACTGATTCTTTCACTATCTTAGACTTGTCATGATACTAAATTCATTCATTCATTCATTTTCTTTTCAGCTTAATCCCTTTATTAATTTGGGGTCGCCACAGTGGAATGAACTTCCAACTTATCCAGCATATGTTTTACGCAGCGTATGCCCTTCCAGCTGCAACCCATCACTGGGAAACATCCATAAACACTCATTCACACACACACATACACTACAGACAATATTAGCTTATCCCATTCACCTATACCACAGGCCTTTGAGCTGTGAAAGAAACCGGAGCACCCGGAGAAAACACTGGAAGAACGTGCAAACTCCACACAGAAATGTGCTACCCACTGCGCCACCGAAACGCCCATGATACTGATTTTCCCGCTAACATTTAAGCACCGTTCAGTGCTTAAACACTGCTGATTTGCCAAAGTATGCACCAGTGCTCAACAGAAAAGACTGTGATTGGCCGTGAAGGTCATCAGTTCACCACTCTTTACCTACGTTTACTGAGTACGACTGATCGACTGATCTTTGCGGCTTTAACATGCTCCAATACACTCAATGAAGAGCGACACAGGTAGGTCATGTGATCATGACAAAATGGTGGATGTAGTACGTCCGAGTTCCATTCATACTGTTTACATTGATACTGTACAAAGCGTACTTGTCTAGTGGTCAAGTAGTCAATTTAAATGTAGTCCCTACTAAGTAGTAGGGGATTTCAGACTCAGCCATTGTTCTTCAGGCAATTTTCTTTTTCGCTCAGTTTTTTGATGAAACTCTCTGTTTTAGACATGTCCCTTCAGCAAGGATCAGATCCAACTCATTTAATTCAACTGTGCTCTAGTCAAGTTCAAGTGCAGTAAAACCTGACTCTGTAGAGCGCATGCAGCTTTAATCCAGATCCAGCCATTCTGCTCCATCAGTCTCCATATCTGCACACGCGTCTCTAGGGTTTAAACTGGCCTGATGGATGCGCCAGCAAAGCACTCTGGGGTTTAACCTCAGCGCGCCGTAATCCACATTGATGAATTAGGATGGCAACTCTTCATCCCTGAGCCCAAATGAGGCATTCCGATGGAGATTTGGACAATATAAATACCATCCTTTATTCAGAGCGAGACAAATAGTAACGCGACAGAGAATGAAAGAGGACTGCGTTTGAAGCTGTATTTAAGGGTTAGAGGTGCTGTCTGTAATTAGAAGGCTCTGGCTTTTTCCTCATTAATTCACACCTGCTAATTAAAGTGTCCTTAGAGAGGCAGGAGACAGGACACGGGTGTGATTATTGTATTATTATTAGAGAAATAACTGCACGGCGCATCTCAAGGGGCTTTTGATGCCTGTTTGTAGATTCAAATACACTGTGAGGGACACATTCCCACAGAGATGATTTTTAGATAGTTTTTGTTTATAAATGACTCTCGATTTAATGTTGTAGTTTAAATCAAGTTTGTATATTCTTTTTAATCGATCATGGATTCATTTTTAATCATTTTTGGAAAAAAAATTACAAATATATTTATATATAGTGAGTTGTTTTTTATTAGTCGTAATTATAGTTTTATTGTTATTAATATTATTATTTTGTTACTATTATTATTATTTAAAAAAACAATATATGTGTTGTATTTTATTTATCAGTTATTACTATTATTATTAGTATTGTTGTTGTTGTTGTTGTTGTTGTTGTTGTTGTTCTTGTTGCTGTTGTTAATGTTGTTCTTGTTGTTGTTGTTAAAAATAAACAATATATGTGATGTTTTTTATTTATCAGTAATTATTATTAATATTATTATTATTAATATCATTATTATTAAAAAAAACAATATATGTGTTGTTGTTTTTTATCAGTAATCATAATTATTATAATTATTGTTTTTATTATTATTATTACTACTACTACTACTATTAAAAATAAACAATAAAACAATGCATGTGTTGTTTTTTATTTATTGGTTATTATTATTATTATTATTATTAATATTATTATTATAAAATAAACAATATGCATTATTATTATTATTAGTAGTAGTAGTAGTATTACTATTAGTATTATTAATAAAAATAAACAATATATGTGTTGTTTTTTATTTATTTTTAATTATTATTATTATTATTATTATTATTATTATTGATACAAATAAACAGCATGTGTTGTTTTTTATCTATTATTATTATTAAAATAAGCAATATATGTGTTGTACTTTTTAGTCAGATTATTGTTATTATTATTATTATTATTATTAAAACATTTAAAATATATGTATTTGTTAGTATTAACTATAATAAATAAATAAATAACCAAACTTAAGCTAGGTGTCGCTTTTTTATTTTAACACTGATGAAATAATAAAAGTAAAAAAGCAGTACACTTCAAATTTAAATATAAAACCTTTAATTCAGACTCGATACTACAATTGCACTGGTTTCCAATGAAAACACGGTGAAAATGGATGGAGCTCTTTTTATAAACACCAAAACGCTGTTAACCTGTCATTATACAGTAAATGACACAAAACACAAAAAAGTGAACTAACCCGTGAGCTCCAGGATGGTGGGTTTGTGTTTGGAGAAGCAGTTTACGAGGGAACGTTTTCTCTTAACCAGCATGAGATGTTGAAGCGACCACACTCTCTATGATAGTCAGATCTATAGTAATACATGAAACTTTACTTTGACTCTGGTTCCTAAATGAAGCACTAAATGCAAGCTACAAAACCACCTCACTGCCACATCAGTGAGCTGGAAACCAAGACTCAGCGTTTTTCCAGTTTTTCCCAGAATGCTTGGGGGGTAAACGCTACCCTGCGGTGCGACCACGAAATGTGCATTTAACCTCCATACGTACAGGAATAAGGCAATCATGGCTTCATCCTGCTTCCTGCGCCGCAATGTTAATGTTTCCAGACACTTTTAATGACGACCGTGTTCTGTGCTGAAGCCGTGATGTAAGAAGTGCTGTTAGCGTCATGATGTCAAAAGAGAATATATTAGGCCAAATGGACAAATCGAATGCTTTCATTTCAGTTGTGAAAACTGGAACCAACCGAGAGCCGAGGTTTAGATATTAGCATTCGTGATGCATGTTGAGACATTGGAGGACATCACACAGGACATTTTTCAGATCTGTCTTGTGTTCTGGACATATTCACACTGATCCTTCTTTCTAATTATTTCCTGTTCTCTCTCCTCTGTCTCGTGCCACAATTTAATTTGTTATGTTGTCTAATCAAATAGTAGCATAGGCGGCCAAAATTAATATAAAAACGGATTACTTTGTCTCTCGCTGTTAAAGGGGTTAGTTCACTAAGATATATGAAAACAATTTATATTGTGGTCCGTTTGTGGTACAATACGAGTTTGCACACTTTTATGTCACAGTTTCCACTGTGTTTCCACCTAGCACAACAAAAGGGTACCAAAAGGTGGAGCTACACGCACAGCTAAACGCTATTGGCTTACAGAGAAACATCACTAGTGTGTGCACAAGCCAGGAGAATGAAAACAAAGGAAGCGACAATTTTAAATACACAGCTGAGACATTACATTGTATTCATAAATACATATAATATAAACCGTGAGCTCAAACAAGCCTTGTCATCGTCTTGATGAACACCCACAAAGCCAAGAAGAACAGCACAATTTGCTGTGCGTCCTGTTGTTGTTTACGAGGTCGCCTAAAAGCATGTGTAGTTTCACTTTCTCCAGAGAGCTTGCGTGTGTTCGTAGTGCATCTATATGTGAAATAACAAACTTCTTGAGCTCATGATAATAAGATGCACAAGATTATTGAAGTGCTTCTGACATCCGATCCTTTCAGAAACGGACAAACGCGAGACTGATGCACCAAAAAACAAAGGATAAGCCTGAAAAAAAAAAAACAAAGGAGCGATTGATTCTTTTAGCAACCTAAATGTCATGTCATTTCAAACCTTAAGACCCTCATTTTTGTAAACAAAAATTAAGTTTTTAACTATTAATTAATTAATTTTAGATGAAATACAAGAGCTCTTTCTGAAATGTGTTTCTATACAAAATGTCACCAAAAATTATTATTATTATTATTATTATTATTATTATTTATTTTTTATTTTATTTATTTATTTTATTTATTATTTTTTTTACCCAGATCTATATAAACAGGCATTGTACATAATTGTTTACAAATCCATTATGGAAAACCTTGTATATTTCAAGTATACTGCTGTTATGAAAATATACCCCACATCTGCACTTTCATGAATTTCCTCATCAATATGAGTAAGAGGTTCATTTCAGTCTGTAAGGATTTTTAGAAATATGGACGTATTTACACAATAACAGGGTATTAAAACTACACTGGGGTAAAGGCACACATGGGAAGATCTGGTCTTAATTCTTGTTCTTTCCCCTTTTTTTCTTTCTGGTTTAGTGTTGACCGATCGCCCTCCACCCATCATCCGGCAGGGTCCAGCTAACCAGACTCTTGGTGTAGACAGTGTGGCTCTTTTGAGGTGCCATGCATCCGGAGAACCAGTCCCAACCATCAGCTGGCTGAAGGACGGGGTCAGTCTGCTGGGCAAAGACCCTCGGATGTCCCTGCAAGACCTCGGCAGCCTGCAGATCAAGGGTTTACGGGTGAGCCTAAACACTTGTATTTCTTTATTTCTATATTATTTAACTTTATTTTACTTTACTTTGTTTTGTTTTATTTTATTTTATTTTATTTTGCCTTCTGCATTTGGCAAAGTTGGGTGCATTAAAATATACAAATGCAATTAAATATTTAATATAAAAAGTTGCAATACATGGTTTTAATCCCAGCTATTAATGACCAGTTTTTATTTTTGCCTACTCAGTACATCCCTTCTATGAATGTTCAGATATATATCTGTCATTGTGTATTTCTAAGACCATTTGTGTATGATTGCGTGACTATCCGCTGTCAGAAATGCCTTCGTCTAAGTGTGATGTATAAGCTCAGCAAAATTCAATCAGATATCGGTAAGACATAACAGAGACGGGCAGAGGGAATCATATTGCATTACGGGGATGAATGGGAAATATTGATTTTGGTAAATTGTTTGATACTATCACTTAGGGATGCGACAGCTCTCCCAAGAATCATTTACGGAAGGCTGGACGAGCTCCAGCTGCACACACATTTGCACACGCACGCACAAACAAACACACTTTTAGGGCCATATTGAATTTAAAGTCCCCAAGCCCTCCCCATCAGCTCGGGATGGAATAACCATTATGGCTGACAGTGCTGCCCACCTCTGACATTTTATCTAATAAATGGATGTGAGGCGTCCTGATGAAAGGCAACAAACAACGGGGAGAGCGTCCCAGAAAGGTAAAGAGGGGGGGTATCTGCCAGCTGTCAGCGGTCCAGAGAGTTTCAGCGACTACCCCTTTAAATGAATTAGTCTGCCTCTCATTGCGGTTAGTGGGTTGGTTTGTGAATTTGCCAGCAAGGATAAAAGCTGGCTGAAGGGTGCGGAAAATAGAATATATCTACCATATTAGTGTCAACGCCAAACTGAATGTGGCCGAGGTTACCGTACCCCTGGGATCGAAAGCTTGAGCTTACTGTTCATCTAATTAGCCATTTAGTCAATTCCCAATGTGTGATGATTTGAAGAGTAGCGCCAAATATATACTTCTGCAAGGAATGATCATCGTACCCCAAAGTGCTTCCCCTGCACATAGCCAATGCCACTGTCATTAAGTTGCTGCTTTGGCAATAATTTTGCTGAAACATAAGTAGGCAGTGGCAAATATATTTTGCTGCAGCCCAGAGACACACAAATCAGAGGGATTTGCAGATTTGGAGACATCTAAGTGGTAGGACTTTCACCAATGCAGGTTAGGAGACCTTTAAGTGGGAGGGGATTACACCAAAGCAGATTTGGAGACCTCTATGTGGGAGGACTTTCACCAATGCAGGTTAGGAGTCCCCTTAAGGGGGGGGGGAGGACTTTACACCAAAGCATGTTGGGAGAACTCTATATGGGAGGGACTTACACCAGTCAAGGTTGGGAGACATCTTGGTTGGAAGGATTAACACCAAAGCAGGTTGGGACACCTCTAAGTGAGAGGGACTTACACCTGTGCAGGTTGGGAGAACTCTAAGTGGAAGGGATTTACACCAATCCAGGTTGGGAGATGTCTTGGTAGGAGTGACTTACACCAAAGCATGTTGGGACATCTCTAAGTGAGAGGGACTTACACCTGTGCAGGTTGGGAGAACTCTAAGTGGAAGGGATTTACACCAATCCAGGTTGGGAGATGTCTTGGTAGGAGTGACTTACACCAAAGCATGTTGGGACATCTCTAAGTGGGAGGGACTCACACCAATGCAAGTTGAGAGAACACTAAGTGAGAGGGACTTACACCAAAGTATGTTGGAGTACCTCTAAGAGGGAAGAACTTACACCAAAGCAGGTTAAAAGACATCTAGGTTAGAGGAACTTACATCAAAGCAAGTTGGAAGACCTCTAAGTAGAATGAACTTACATCAATGCAGATTAAGAGACCTATAAGTGCTAGGAACTTACACCAATCCAGGTTGGGAGACATCTTGGTTGGAGGGATTAACACCAAAGCAGGTTGGGAGACCTCTAAGTGGGAGATACTTACACCAGTGCAGGTTGGGAGAGTGGTAAGTGGGAGGGAATTACACCAAAGTATGTTGGAGTACATCTAGGAGGGAAAGACTTACACCAATCCAGGTTGAAAGACCTCTAAGTGGTAAGAACTTACACCAATGTTGGTTGGCAGGCCTCTATGTGGGGGAGACTCACACCAAAGCAGGTTGGGAGACATCTTAGGAGGAGGGACTTAGACCAAAGCATGTTGGAAGACCTCTAAGTGTGAGGGAATTACACAAAAGAAGGTAAATTCACCTGTTTTGTTTCTATTTTTCAGCTCTCTGATTCTGGCATTTATACTTGTGTGGCTGCAAGTTCTAGTGGGGAAACATCATGGAGTGCTTTCTTGGAGGTCAAAGGTACTTGTTTGAAACTGTACACATTGTTAGTAATTTGGTTCTTCTAGAAACAGTTTGATTTCCTGATTATTTTGTCTTTCTTCAGAGGCTGGGAGTCTTGTTGTAGTTAAAGATCGGGATGAGAACGAGCTTCCAGGACCTCCTTCCAAACCTCAGGTCACAGATGTCACTAAAAACAGCGTGTCATTATCCTGGCAGCCAGGCCTTCCCGGAGCATCAGCCATTTCTACATATGTCATAGAAGCATTCAGGTACAAGTTGTGTATTAATTTAATTGGTTTTGCCTTTAGGGGAGTGTTCATAGTTTTACTGAAAGATCATTTGTTTAAGTACTCAACCAAACCAAAGTTCTCTCAAAGTAGATGACAATTTTAGTTGGCAACAAGGAGGATTTATGTTGAAAGAATCTTTTCAATCTATTTCCAGATGATTTAAAACATTGAAAATGTATCTCTAAACACATTTGGAGGGTACAAAAAACATGAACAGTATAGATTGTGACCTACAACCTCAAACTGGCACAATATTATCGACTGTCCTTGTGAATTGCAACCACTAAATGTTGTGACTGAATAACTCTGACATCACTGTCCCTCATTTGCATGCAGCCAATCGGTGAGCAACAGCTGGCAAACTGTTGCCGATCACGCCAAGACAACGCAGTACACCATTAAGGGTCTCCGCCCTAACACCATCTACCTGTTCATGGTGCGAGCGGTCAACGTCCAAGGCCTGAGCGACCCAAGCCCCATGTCTGAACCCGTCCGCACTCAAGGTATCTATATCTGTCATTGTCTGTATATTCTATTTAGAACTCAATACAATGTAATATCATGATTGTAGACAACAAAATGATCACAGTTATCATTTTTCACGATTAGCTAATCGCAGGATTTACCATGAGTTATCTAAATCCCAATAATCAATCACTGTTTTAATGATAATGAAAATTTGAAAGAGTTTTACAGAGCATCAGACAATTTACAATCATCTACCTTGAAATTGGTGACCACCGCACCAATTCTAATTATGAAAACAAATGGTTTCCGTAACAACAACTTCCAATTAAATCCTAGCTCTTGCTAAAGAACAAGATTTAGATACCACACAGTCTAACACTGCCATACACTCATTAGAAACAGAGGCTGTATATAACGTACAACAAACACAGTCTACTTTTGGAGTGTACAATTGAGTTAGAGCCCTGGTTGCTACCTTAATGATCATTACGTCGAGAAAAAAAAGGACTGGAAAAAGATTCGATTAAGGTGCCACACTTCTCCGGATGTTCATTAGGGGTGACTGATTCTTAGACCTTGGGCTGGATGTAACCTCAGTGGTTGGGTTGAAGCTGTGCTGGAGTCGGTGCGAATGACTCCTCGTCGCTCTTTTAGGGGATTAAATTGTATTTAAGGGATTACGTTGTACTGGACAGTAATTTGGCACTGTTGGAGCTCTATAAGAGGTTATAGCACTGGCCTCTGTGTGTCTCTCTTTACAGATATAAGTCCTCCAGCGCAGGGTGTGGATCACAGACATGTGCAAAAGGAGCTGGGAGAAGTTATTGTGCGGCTACACAACCCTGTGGTCCTTAGCCCTACCACCATACAGGTCACATGGACGGTAAGACGCTCTATTATTGGATGGAGCTGTTGTAAATGCTTTAGCATGTTAACTGAGAGTAGAGAGATGTTGTAGTGTGTAATTAGAATTGAACAATGTTGTGTTGTAAGCAAGTTTTGTTGCTGAAGTTGCAGAGGGTGAGTGAACTATGATTAGACAAAGGGAAAGCATGACTTTACCTTGATTGGACTGAGGTTTAAGCATGAGAACTGTGTATGATATGTAGTAATATACAGACAAGATGCCTCAGCATTAAAATTCTATCGTCATACTGTATATTCAATTTCTTATTCTTTGTCAATAAAAAGGCAAATTTTGTCCATTATTAGCATTACTATGGACCACATTTGCTTATGTATTATAGTAAAGTAAAATGAAATGTAAATTTTTATTTTTATTTAATATTTACTTTATAATACTACAATTATTAAATTACAAATTAAATTAAATAATTTAATTAAAATTAAATTAAAAGATAAAATAAAGTAATAAATAAATTAAACTAAATTAAATAAAAAATAATAAATTACGTAAAAATAAAATAAAATACACTGAAAATGAAATGAAAATAAATTTATTTAATTTAATTTAATACTGAAATAATTTTATTGCAAATAAAATAAAATAACTAAATTAGAAGGTAAAATAGAGCAATAAATAAATTAAATAAATTAAATAAGATAAAAAAGTAAAAAGTAAAAAAAATGGAAAATAAAATAAATAAACATAAATAAAATGAAAAAACTAAACCTGTAGTTAAATAAAAATCTTTAATTTAATACTAAAACAATTAAATTCCAAATTTAATAAAATAATTAAATTAGAAGATAAAATTAAGCAATAACTAAATTTAAAAATTAAAAAAATAATACAAATTAAAAAGTAAAAATAAATAAAATGAAATAAAATACAATTGTAATTTAATGAAAATAAATTTAATTTGAGATATATATATATATATAGCTATATATATATAAAAGAAAGAAAGAAGAAAGAAAAAAAAGAAAGAAAGAAAGAAAGAAAGAACGAAAGAAAGAAAGAAAGAGAGAAAGAAAGAAAGAAAGAAAGAAAGAAAGAAAGAAAGAAAGAAAGAAAGAAAGAAAGAAAGAAAGAGAAAGAAAGAAAGTTTCTCAACTTGCTTGTTGTCTCCATTTCCCACTGCAGTCTTCTCTCACTGATATAAACACTTCAAAAGAGTTTATTGTTTGTTGAATTGCATTAAAATGGAGATTTTACAGCTCTGGCTTTGTCACATTAGTTGGTAAGCACTCTCCTGCGGTACATCAATGATTGCCATCAACAATCATTACAGAGACAAATATAAGCGTCTGTCTGTTGGGCCTAAATGGAGGATAGACTAGTTTTCAGCGGCATTTCTCTCATATGAATTATCCATAAATCATCAGCCTACTCTCGCGCTAAACGTAGGTGGTGTCAAGAAAGCTTTTACGACCCTGAATCATTCAATTAATGAAAGTTAAAATGCGTAGGAAGGATGCCCATTGGGCTGATTTACTCCACGTGTAGGGAGGAAAAAGCAGATGTTTAATATCTCACTCTGAAAGCCAGACTCTGCTGTAAGCAGGACATTAATGTGAGTTATACACTCGGTAAATACAGCTAAAAAAAGAACGAGGCTCTCAACAAATGAACGGTCTTGTTAAGGATTTTGTTGATTTGAGAATCCGTTTCTTCTTTGATCCTTTTGCCGAGATATTCTTATGTGTATATTTGTACATATGTGTTTATTTCGTCGCAGCTGGACTTTTATTTGTCATGTTTGTTTTAATTTAGATGTTATTTAGCTGTATATTGTTATTGGCTTATGTAAAGCATTTCGATCAAAGGGTTTTGATTGGTTGAGCATGTTGCTGTATGTAAATTGGAGATGAGGTTGGAAATTTGGGACGATTTGTTTGTTTTTCCTTTCTTCGGTTGAACCATGCTGGTCTAAGCTGGTTTGGTGCAGGTCTAAATCGCCGGTCAAAAGCTTGGATTACTGTTTTTATGCACTTGTTTGTTAAAAAATAGAGTAAAACTAAAATACTGTAAAATAGTATTGCAATGTAAAGTCACACTGTAAAAACAATAAATCTACAGTCGCTTACTGGGTATTTTGGTAGCCAGGAAGACTGAATTTACAAGCGCAATATAAATCAATGATTACAATATACTGTAAAATTTACAGTAACTTACTGGCAATTTGTGGTTGCCAGTTTGACTATCCGCTTGTTAAGTCGTGACGTATGGAATGCTGTATTCGGGTTCAAGCTGCTACGCATTTGAATTGAGAAAATATTTGTTTATGACCACTTCTTAGTCATATCACACATTAAAGTGAACTTCTCTGGAGAAGTCTCTAGTCTCTGGACTTGCTGCATCGCTGACACCAATATTTTAACAATTGATAAAAATCACTTTCTGGTCATCAGATATCAGGCATGGATAAATATATTACTATCTATGTTTTTAAAAGTATTACATTGCTTTGCACACATTTATTATTACCGTTTGTTGAGTCTCCCCATACAGTTTAATATGGTGCTTGGACCCGGAAGCCGCTTTGTGTGACGTCACATGGATAAATGTACAACTGCACTGTGTAATTGGAGTGTAAAAATACAGCACAATTGTAGGTATTTATTTAGTGTGAGCTTTGTAAATTTACAGTAGCTTACTGTGAACCAAAATTTCCAAGAACTTACTGTAAATATTGCAGTACATTTTTACAGTGTACTTTGTTTTGCTGTTTGTGTCTAAATTTTGAAATGCTATTTATTTCCATTTTAATTTAGTTATTTTTTTTTTTTGCTTTTGTATCTGGTGTTTTGTTTTTTTGTTTGTTTTGTTTTTTGTTTGTTTATTGCTTGTTTGTTTTGTTTTGTTTTGTTGTTAGTTTTTTGTTTTGTTTTGTTTTGTTTTGTTTTGTTTTTTGTTTTTTGTTATGTTATGCTATGTTATGTTATGTTGTTATGTTATGTTATGTTATTATTTTTTTATGTTTTGTTTTATTTTGTTTTGTTTTGTTTCGTTTCCTTTCCTTTCGTTTCATTTCATTTCATTTCTTTTTTTTTCTTTTTTTTCTTTTCTTTTCTTTTCGTTTCGTTTAAAATAAATGACTTCTTTCAAATTAAAATAGGGTCTTGAATCATTCCTTAGCACACTTGTCCCCCCCCTCCCCCCCTTTCCCTTGCAGCACTCACATATCTTTACCT